TAGTTTGACAGCCATATTTTCATTTGTAAGAAAGCGTGCTGGTGGTAACATCGATGAAATTTTTATATTAAATCAAAATAAAAGTCTGTTCCTTATTGGATTATTTATGATTACGTTTTAGGAAATTATTCAGCAAGTTTTTTAAAGATTTAAATGTTTTTAAACACCGAAATTGAGAGAATGTTGTCTGGTGGCGTCATGCGGCAAATGCTTATTTCAAGACATCAAAGTGCCCACACACAAAAACTTGCAATCACATTGCTCGTCAAAATGACAGTTGGTAGGCCATCGCTGTTTGCCTGTGGAGTTCTGCGGTAATGCATGCATACATACCGTACACTTCTGTTATGATTGCTGGCGGTCGTATTCTTGTGTGGGTGTGTGGCATGGTGTATGTGTGTGTTTCCATGCGCAGTGGCTGGCGGCCTTTGTATAAGATCTTATTAGATTTTATTAGAAGTGTGCCTCAGACTCTCGTCACCCGCTCTCCATAGACATTTACTATTTTTACTGTTGAGACAACTTGCAACTGCAACGTGACATGCGCTGAATTTGTCACAAGTACACACCGACCCCCTTCACGAAAGTCTAGAATTTCCTAGCTCTCGTCGCTTTCCTATGGCTTGGTCCTCCTTCACGAAATGCAATTTCCTCTTCTTTCTTAAGACAAACTTGCAATTTGCCTATTTCTATTTTCTTCTGCAACAAAGTTGAGCAGTCATACACATGCTGAAAAGTTGAATACATTTTTTTCTTTGTACATAAATAGTTTGTTGATGAGATGCGACGTCTTGTCTCTCGTTGACAACGAAAGCAGACTAACGGACGTCAGTGGCTGGTGATGACTTGCCTCAGCCCCATGAAAAACTGCAAGCGTACACATGTAGGTACATACATACATACGTGCATAAATATTTACACATCGAATTACCAAAAATAATAAACTTTTCACTTTTGAAAATTTGGTAAAAGGGCTGGCTACCTGTGCTTTTTTCGCCTCTTGGTTCTCTATTTATAGATGTGCAAACTATCATGTTCATACATCGATAAGCACGTACATATGCACATATGTATGTACATACATATGTAAGTATGTATGTGAGAATGTTTGTATGAATCAATCTTGGCATTTCTATACTCAGCAGCAGAGGTGCATACATCAAATTCCAATTGGCTGCAGCGTCTGTGGAGAAATGCTATTAGAAAATGTTTCTATTAGCAACGGAAGCATCCAGATCGCACACAGTGTCGTCATAAAATATTAGATCTTTCGGAGTGTGTTTGGGACTTTGGAAATCATTTTTTTGTTCTCTTTTGTCCGTCGGTTTTTCGTTAGGTTTGAGTGTTGGATTTAAAGAGTTTCCGTTGTTGCAATGCTGAGTTGTAGTTGTAAGGGCTATTAAAGGATGGATGGATCGAGCGTTGCTAGATGTTCATATTTTGCCCAATATACAATATGTACATATATACATATCGTCACCTGAAATGTAAAAGGCCGTAACGAATAAAAAATATAAAACTCACTTTTTGATCCATTATGATGCATTTCATTGAGTTATAAGTTTCCACATCGTTTTCATATTTCTCATATTTCAAAATGGTTCTCTTTTTTATAAATCAATCGCATTTCTGGCTAGTATATTTCAGGACGAATGGATAAGGATTGAGCCAAGAGCTTGTGTGAGCAAATCCAATTTTTGGCAGCCAATGTCAGTTACGCGGTTTTGCAGAATGACGATACGCGGTTTTGTACTTTAAACGTTACAGCCTGATTCCTAACGGATCGTAAATCAAACCTGCGCCACTAAATAACAACGAGGCGACAAAATTGTAAATTCTTTTCGATTGACGCTGCACCAGTTGAGAGAACTTTCAGTTATGTTTCTTTTTTTATTGCGGTGCAACAGTTCCTTTTTGGGAATTGCATCGGGGCTGCAAATGTCGTATGTATCCTCCTGACTTTCATCTTCACAATCTAGCATCATGGCAAGATCGTTCTTTAAACACCGTTGTGTTCCAATTTGGAGCATCAATTCTTTTGATTTTGTTTCAGAATTTGGAGAACTTGTTACGTCATCAGAGTTTTTCGATTCCAGCTTTGTACTTCATTTTTAATCCTATCTTTTGTGACTGGTTTGGAAAATGTGCGCTTATAGCGAGGTTGTGAATAGGTGGATATGGCAAATAAATTGTTAGTTTCTAGGAATGAAAATTTCGAAGAAAATTCTGTTTTGAAAGTCGTGGCTGCCGGGAGAAATAGTTTAAAATTTTGTTATTTTGTCTAAAAGGTACCCCGTTTTTTATAATAATTTGAATTATGGAATCACGGACGATAAAGGTCTCAGATTTGCTCAGTTCTCGGGTGACTCCTTTGAAAGGTTCGCCTGTAATGAATACCTTGTAATTACTTTTTTTATTAGTTAGTTGAGCTTCCTAGTTGCAGGCAGTCACAATTAATTACTCACCGCTGTTGGTACCATAAGCTATCAAATCTGTTTGGTTGTTCCATTCCATGCCCTCAATGTGTTTGATATATTTTTTGAGGCGAATGAACGCAAATTTCCCACATATTTATCACTAATACTATTTTAAGAGGGCTTATTTCACATTGTTGCTGAAATGCAAAAAATCACAACCAACTAAATTTTTGTATTGTCTAAAACGATGTGGGGACTTATGATTCGATGAAATGCATCATAATCAATCAAAAATTTAATTTTGGATTTTTAGTTAGTTACGGCTTTTTGTATTTCAGCTACGATGTGAGTTAAGTCATTTCCATACTATACTAACCGTATATTACATGCCAAGTCCCACGCCTCAATAGAATTTCACCTTGAATTTATTCTTATTTAATTTGTGGACTTGGCTGTCGACTTATTTACATACCATTTTATCTTTATTTCGATGCGTGGTAATTTTGACAATTTACACAAAATTAAAATAAATGTTTTTGTTTTCGAGCTGAAACACTAATAGAAGGAAACACGCAACTTAAGAATAATAAGTTTTATGAGGAAAAAAATAATTACACTAAAAAAAAAGTAGAAAACAACTAGAGAAGCATCCAGTTTTTTGNATGAGGAAAAAAATAATTACACTAAAAAAAAAGTAGAAAACAACTAGAGATGCATCCAGTTTTTTGAACAGACCTTTGACAAATAATATTCGATTCTCTTTATAGCCAGCCGTTGAACATTTCCGCTGGAAATACCTACTATTATCTTACGCTTTGACTTTAAATTACGAAAGAAGGTGGACGTAGGGGACAGTCTTACAATAGCATCTCTACAGGCAAAAAATATTGGCTAAAATTTGTGTTTGCCAGATATACGTTTTAACAGTGCACTTGTACAATATTCGCATTCGCAAAAGCTCTGTATTGATTATTGCGAATGCGAAAGCGAATGCGAATGTCATAATTTATGCGGAAGTTCCGCGGTTGCGAATGCGAATGCGAATATTCGCAACAACCCTGGTGTGTATGTACATAAGGGAACGTACCCATACTACGGGGGGTGAAAATGTTTGTGTTTAAAATTTAAACCGAACTGTTTAAATTCTAAACCCAACATATGTGCTCTCTTTTTTTTAAACTTGGAAGGTACATATATGTAGTCCAGAAAGTTTAAAATTAAAACTAAAATTTTTAACCGTGTATGATTCCCTTATTGATTATAGAACCATAAATAAATAATAAAAAGCTAATAAAATTTTCAAATTTTAATACAATACCTATGAGTGCACTGTATATTCCATTAAGAGATATCAACGAAGTTTTCCCCTGCACGGGGATACATATTTCTTAAAATGCATATATTTTGAAATCTAAAGAAATTTCGTTAGTTTATCTTTAAAAAAAAACAATAGTTAGCTTTAGTATCTCTGAAAGTGGAAAATGCATAGTTCACCAAAAAAAGTGGAAAATGCATGTGGAAAAAAGTGGAAAATGCATGTTCGCGAGATTACCTGTTACAAAAAAAAGGGACTTCTCTTTATATAATTAGTATAGATAGATGTAGATATAGATTTGTACACGATAATATTTCTATTTCTCCAAAGAAACTACATACCGAAAACCAAAGTTATATCAGCAAATCATAAGTTGATTGTGCACTTTAAATGCTCAAAATTTACCCCAAAATAAGCCAATATTTACCGTTGTTTCTACGAAAGAAACCGAATTGGTTACTTACAAAAATGAATCTATGGATAGGTTTGGAGTTTTATCTTTGAAACCCCACACTTTTCTTTGAAATCGCTTCACTAGTTCTCGTGCAATAAGCGTTTTCGTGAAGCTCTAAAAATTACAACTACACCATTTGACCATAGCATCCATATATAGTATTTTTCGTATACAAAAATTTGAGAAAACACACTTAAAAGGAAAAAATACCTTTTTTTATAAAAAAAATTACAAAGAAATTACTAACCGATTTTTAAGAATTTGGCATCGATTGAACCCCCTTTCTTGCGGTGTGCATATTTGTATACTTGGTGTATAAAATTTAAGAAAAAACACTTGAAAGCAAAAACTACCTCTTTTTCTAAAGAAAAATATTTTTAACAAAAAAATTACTAACCGATTTTAAAAAAATTGATATCGTTGTAAAGGCCAACAGAAAACTTATACTTATACTTTCTTAAAAATTATTTATGTATATACACAAAAAAAATATAATTAAAAACATTTTTCCCTCTATATAGACTCCTGCCCCCTAGATGAAAGGCTGGCTACGCCCTTGTATACAAAACAATTAAAGTATTTAAACCGTAGGTATACGGTCAGTTGGTTCTTTTAGAGCCATATATGGTTCCATAATATTGATTCCATTATCTTCATTTATGTATATTGTAACTATCAATATCTTATAAAGCGAAGTGTACATTTTTTTTATCTAAACCTAATAAAGTTAGAAGGACGAAATTCGAGGATTTGGTAGTTAACATTCATTGACATATATTTTTTTTTCAAAAATCAACATTGGAAATTTCTATCTATATTCAATGATAAAGTTTTAAAAGGACATTTTCAATACTTACTCGGCCTGGAGCACCCAAAAATTATTATTATTTTTTTATTCTACAGAACATTTCCTTTTAATTGATGCCCATATTGTTATTCTACAATATCTTTAGAATAATTTTTTTATTCAATTATATTCTAGAAATTTCAAAGTCCGCTAAAAAAAAACCTGACGTCAGAGAGAAAAACTAAAAACGCAGTTTTACTATATTTGGCCTGCGGTTTTGTGAGTATATTGATTTTTTCGTGTGTAAAATTGACTGTCGCACGGTGTTATTCAATGGAAAATCTTAAAAAAATTAATGTTGTTTTTGTTCAGCTAGCTTGTACTACACGAATCTCTGTGCGACGTTTTTGATCCCAAATTTTAGGATGATAATAGGTTTGTTCCACCAGCTACTTGTAGAAAAACTCGAGCAAAGTTCAAACTGTCAGCGTATATCAAATAAACTATAAAACTTACTCGTGAAACGCGTATGTATAGCTCGAAGTGACTACGAGTAGCTTGTGGAACAAACCTAATTATTTTGGCTCTCTGTTTTTTTACACATTTCCATTTGAATTAAAATTTTTATTAATTACAGACACTCAAAAAATTAAGTATTAAGTGATTTTCATTAAATATTAAAAATTTTTTTTATGTTTAAACTTTTAGTGAGTTTTTATTAAAATATATATTATAATATATTATTAAATATTTTAACAAAAACATATTAATCTAAGTTACTAACTCTGTACGAAATTTATAAGAATTCTGCAAATTTTATCAAAAGTTGCAAAACTTTTAATAAGATTTTCTAAAAAATATCGAGTATGCAGGATAATAATGTGCAAAGTTTAACAGTTTTAAAATTCGTTTAACAGCCGTACTTTTTTGAAATGTGTTACGAAATTATCGATTTTTGCAGTGTGTACTATCTACACAGCTGAATACAATTGTTTTTGTCCCCACATCTCCGAAATAGCAGCTATAATTTCTACGGCTTCGATTTTATTGCCTTTTCGATTTTGCGTAAAAAAAACCAAACTGTGGTATAAACCTTTTTCAATCTTTTTGGTTAATGCCACTCTGTGTTTAAAATTTTTCGTTGAGGTTCTATTAGACAGACAATAAGTAAAAATTGTAACACGGCTGAATCCAACTGAATTTAATATACATACAAAAGTATTGGCACAGAGAATTTTTCGCAATATCTGAACAGTTTTTTATTCTAATTTATTTTCGATAATTTTTTATAAATATATAGTTCGTCCTACACCAAAAAACATAAAAACTAAATCTCTAAATTTTGTGCAAAACTCAGGAAAATTCAGTAAATTTGCATACTTATTTGCAACTTTCTATTCAGATTTTTTAGAAAAATTCTAAGTATGCAGTTTTATAGCTTGCCTAATTTTAGTTTAACAAAGTGCAAGCTTGAAGCTGCTAAAAAATCGCATTGATTTTTGGCAATTTTTTATCAGTCAGGTTCTTCCGTACAAAGTATGTTCGACAATTATTTTTTGTATGGAGAAAATGAGCAACACCTTCTACTAAAAAAATGTCCAAAAATCAACGCAATTTTTTAGATACTTCAAACTTGCACTTTGTTATACTAAAATTAGTTGGGCTATTAAACTACATACTTAGAATTTCTCTAAAAAATCTGAATAAGAAGTTGCAAATTAGTATGCAAATTTATTGAATTTTCCTGAGTTTTGCACAAAGTTTAGAGATTTTGTTTTTATGTTTTTTGGTGAAGTACGAACTATATTTTTATTTTTAGATTTAGATGAGTTTTCCTGTTATTTTTTATAATCAATAAGAGCAGTATTTGTAATCTCAGACATTAAGCCCTGCTTCTCACTATTTTCAGGGAATGAATGTAATTCGCCTTTTATTTGCAACAAGCTGTCGTTTTTCTTTAGGTTTTTACCTTCGCATGACGCTATTTTACAACGTTTTCTTGTTGTATGGCATTCGCAAGTAGTACAATTTTCTTTGGGAAAAACAGATAAGGAATCCAATTCTTTGGTTTGAGAAGTAGCTCCTAAATCTTCATCATCAGTATTTCGCAAAATTGCACCAATAAAATTACATTTGGATTCACTTGTTTGGAGAAGTAGCCTGTTTTTATTGACAGTTTCCGGTACCTTTTTAATTACGATAGAAATAGTCTCATTTGACTTGGCGTTCGACTTAAAATTGTTAACTGTATTTTCTTTTTTGTTTTTAGTATCAAATTGGGAGTGGCTTCTGATATCATCATTTGTTTTTAGATTAAGCTCTACGCTGTTAGCAGACTCAGATAATTTGTCGGTATTAATGAAAATAGCGTCTTTTAAAATTTCTGCAAAATTAAAATCGTTCACAATTTCATCTTGGTCTTTTCTGCTTTCAAGTCTAGAAATATCGCTTGATGATCATTTGTTATGAGAATACGCCTTTTCTTCTTATGATAAAACCTTTTATTATTAATTTGGAACCTAATTTATATCTACTTATTCCATCGGGTTCTGAGATTATAATTTCTTGACTGGAGGGACAGCTGAAATCTTCGTTCGAGTTAAAATCAAGATATTCGTTTGAAGCGGTAGAAGTAGTTTCATTTGGTTGACTTCTCGTTATACAATCATTAACCAATTTATCTTTGGATCCATTAGAAACCTCTTGTTTACTTTCAAAACTAGTTTGATTACTTATGTTGGTAGAAGCCGCCTCATACACTTTGTCAGGAGCGCAATTAAAGGGCTAGTTCTCTGTTATCAGAAGTGAAGGAACTGCTATTGTTTGCATTTATTTTAAGAATAACCCTTTCGTTATTAGCTAATTCTGATGATCTATAGGTAGCATTAGAAATATGTTCATTTAATGGACCTATAGAATTACAATTATCTCCAGCTTTATCTTCGTTTTCCTCCGAAAATTCTTTACTGAGTTTAGCACTAAAAATATGGTTGGTTAGAATAGTAAGCCCTTCGTTATTGGCAGCTTCAGATACCATATCAGGTTTGGCAGAAAAAGTATCGTTTGATTTTTTTATAATAAACTCTTCGTTATTATCTGCATTTAACACTTTATCAGGAACGACAGAAATAATCGTATCTTTTTTCGATGTGAATTTACTGTTCCCAGGCTCTTCATCTAAGTGTAATTTGTTTACGAAACCAAAATGAGTATTGATATTATAACATGGATTTGGGATAATTATTTGGGTATCTGATACTTCATCAGGGGCGACAAAAGAAGTTTTATTTGTCTGTGGCGTGGATTTACAATTTTCAGATATTTTACCATGTTTTTTTTTCAGATGCTGTTTTTTGCTTAAAACTAAAAATACCATAATCATCCTCGTTTGTTTTACGAGTAAGCCTTCCTTTAATTGTAATCTCAGAAACTTTACTAGGAGAGATAACAATAGCCTCAGTTATATTCGTTGCGCTCCCATGAACCTTATCCGTTGTTTCCTGACATTCAGATGCTCTGTCAACAACGTTGGCGCACAGCCAAATCCCATGACGACAGAGTAAGTTTATAATATGTACTTGTTAAACTAATTTTTAATCACACGAGCCACTCCGTTGCCGCTGCCAGGATTTTAACTCTCATTCCAGCATATTTGATATATCTGATTAGCTTTTCAGCATTAAGAAAGCGATACTATCCTCTCTCAAAAAATGATTGACTAACATAAATACATAATAATTAGCTGATGAATCTGGTTCTGCAGCTGAATAGTTTTAAATAGATCTCGACACTTAACAAACCTTTCGTAACTCGGCACAAAAATTGAAAATAATGGTTCCGTACAACATGCGGGCTGCGCCCCTCGTGCGGATGGGCGTGAAAGGAGGGTAAAACCGTTGGGATTTATATATATATAAAAGGCCCTAACTAATTTTCTTCTAAAATCCAGTTATGTACAAAAGTTGGTAAATTACTCACAAAAATTCTATTAGAACTTGAAAACAGCTGTTGATTTTAGATATGGCTTCCTACAACTAACCGCCCACAATTTGTCCTGGCACAAATGGACAAAGTGTCAAACTGAACTGCCCTTTTGTAAAATTTAGAAAGTTATAAGGGAGTAATTTTTCTTACTCTCCAATTACCGGACCCAGCGTTGAAAGCGTTTGGAACAGAAGCTATATTAAGGAATCATATTTAAATTATAGGTACAGAAATTTTCAAAATTAGAAAATATTCACATTTTACTGTTTTTCTGAATCAGTGTGACTGCAGAAACTTAATTTCGAGAGTAGCTACAGTTGTAGAATCGCAACTCAATATGT